AATTTTTTGGTTTTGTGCGCTTTTTGTTCCACTTCCCACGTTTTTCGATTTTTCGAAAATTTTCGAAAAAATTGAAATTTAAAAAAATAACCTAACCTAACCTAACCTAACCTAACCTAAACTAACCTAACCTAGCTTAACCTAACCTTCTTCTACTGTGTCTGTCCCAATTTTTATATTTAATAGATCATTATTCATATTTCTGCTGCTCCTCATAACTTTCGTCTTGATTTTGTTTATCCTTAAGCCAAATTGTTCACTAAGTAATCTATTCATACCATTCAGTAATTTTTCTACATCTTCCTTCCGTTCAGCCAAGAGGGCAACATCATCAGGGAACCTTAACATTGCTATCCTTTCCCCTTGATCCTTTATTCCTATCATGAAATTTTCTTTCACTTCCTTCATTGCTTCCGCAACATACAAGTTAAACAGCAGGGGCAATAGGCTGCATCCTTGTCTTACTCCCTTTTTAATAAATGTCTGTCTTTCATGATTCTCTACTTTTAATTACTTAATTACTTGCACCATAACCTCACGTTTTCCACTGTGCATGCAAACATACATGCGTATTATATTATGTTCCATGAATCCATAAGACAGTCAGATGACAATAGGATGTGGAGAATGTCATAATAATAATAATACAATACATATTATAAAGTGCAATTCATACTTTTATATACATTTCACATAATACAAACAAAGGGTCACCTAAAGTAATGATAAGTTACAAATACATCTGCCCATTACACACAGAAGATAAATTATTTCTTACTTGTATACAAAATAAATTCATTGACATTAACAGGAGTGTGTAATTAAGTATCTTTTTAATGCTACCTTAAATTGCTCCTTTGTATTTACAAGACTTGTGAGAATTAATGGTAGACTGTTGAAAACTTTGATTCCTGCATAATATGAAATCTTCTGAAAGCATGAGATGTTGGCAACTGGTGTATGAAGCTGATTCTTATTCCTTAGGTTGACACTGTTTACAGAAAAATTAGTTTGAAAAAGTTCTTGGTTGTTAATTGGTGAGGAAAATGTCCTGTTCCTAGTGCATGCTTCATACCCCTTTCTACATAAGATGTATTTAAAGAACTCTTAGAAGTTTTGTTTTGCAGTCAGTAGAGCACAAAAGAATGTAACTTCTATAGGCAAATAACCAGATTGGCTGTTGGAATTTGTGTGAACCCATAAAATGTTGACTTCATTTTACAGTTTCATACACAAAGTGACAATTCTCTGCCTCATTTTGTTTCAATTCTGTAGTATTTGTGAACTGGATTGCGCTGTGACAGCTTTGATAGTTTGTTGTGACAGAGAGCACATAACACAAGTGTTTGTTGATAAGTGTTGAGAAACTGAAAGCATTATGTGTGTGTAATAGCACACATTGTAGGCCAGGAAGTGACTTGTCAGTTTTAGGTTGTATCTGAAATGCATAGTGCTGTACAGACATCTAATGGGACCTTGTGACTGTAAGTACATAATGTGTGCTACGCTGATCGTAATCATGTTTACTCTTTCAACTTGTGCTGTTTCGCCACAGTTTGTATTCTATTTGTGTGTGCTATCCATGATGTAAGATAACAGTGAGGGTTGGAATTAATTTCCTTAAAAGCTTCTCAGTTAGATGCTCATCTTTAAAAACCTGCAGTTATTTCAATGATTGAATGGAATGAAAGTAGCCCAAGTGAATGAGTGCTTGCAACACATCAAGCTGAACTTAGTTTTGAGGTCAATGTGTACCACGTGCTTTTTCCAGTTTTAAGTTACCATCAGTTTGTAAACAAAGAAAATTGATTGTTTACAGTAGTTTGGTTGTGCTGGTATCCTAACCTGCATGAAAAGAAAAATTTTGGAATCTCAATCTTATCAAAAGTAAAGGGAGTTAATTGACATTAGGCCATTTGTCTTTGGATAATCCATAATATTACTAGCATCATAAGCGAGAAGCGTGGACTTTGACAGAGAACCGGTTACTTGCTATAGGTCATTGATGGTTACTGGGACGTACATGTATTGTGGAAACCGAGAGTGCTCGACATCATTTTAGGTGGAATATGTGTCTTTTTTATTCTTGTGTCCGTGAGAAATTTTCAGTGCTACCAATGCTTTTACGGAATCTCGTGACGGTCAGTATGTATTCGAGTGTGGTGACCAAAGAATGTAGTGACGAAAATCAAGGTAATGTATCGTGGAGGTATATCTGATGTGTGGAGGTGTTCTTTGTATGTCGACTGTTGAACATTTTAATACAGTCTCGCGAATAATGGTATACATTGTAAGTGTGCGCCTACATGTGGACAATGGAGTGCTGACAACAATAATGGTTCTCTCTGCCTTTCTGATAATGTCATCTCTGGTCGCGACGATAATGGCGCTGTTATTCTACTTCGTGGCATTGATAGCCATGTTATAGAACTTGTTGCATTTGCTATTCTTCTCGTAGGTCGGCGCATTAAGATAATATACGACGAACAGTGTGGATTTTCCATTGCTTCTTGGTTATTTTGCTAGAAGCTGCAAGGTATGTTGAGGTTACTGTAGTTAGTTTTAAGGGCGCAACCTTATGTGTTGATATTAGCAGAGTTTCTCAATGGCCTTTACATTTCATACAATCATTTGTGCATTGCGGATAACCAGCCCCTTAATAAGAAAGTCCTTCAGTTCCTTCTTAAACTGATTGTTATTTTTCATTTGTTTTATTATGGTAGGCAGTTTGTTATAGAAGAGATAACCTGCTACTGACGGTTATGGACATATATGTTGGAATGTTTAGATTCCAATTGCACAATGCACCATCTATTTTTTGTTATTTTAGTGACACAATATATTTATCTAATTAAATTTTAGGTTCTTTTTGGTAATAATACTTGCACCTTCTTTTACCATATTTTTCTACAGGAAGTACCTCCAAAAGTAACAATTTCAAGTTTTACCTGTATGATCTATGGTGTGGGTTAAACACAGATTAGGGTGTGTATTTATTGTTAATGGACACTGATAGTTGATCGGTTTTCTTTTAAAGTCCTCTTATATTATGATAATACACCACAGAATTTTTATCTTGATTATATTCTGAATTTAGAACTGGTTTATTTGCTTTGATGTAGACATCTTTCAGGTATTTGGGCTTAAGCCTAAAAGAGGCCTAGATCTTACATCAGTGATTACTGGTATCTTACCAGTATCCAATTTGCACCTAATCTCATTAGCAGTGAGTTGCACAAGCTTCTCCTTACCCTTTCAGTTAAGGTGTAATCCATGTCTGGTATGATCATTCCTATTTAAGGATGAATTGTCAGTTAATCTAATATGTGATTTGCCTGCATTCCAAAGCGCACACTCGTAGAATATCTCCACTCCCCACCCACTTGCCTATATGGGGCCTGTCATGATTGAGAAGGCCAACAAAACCAACATTTGTATGAATGCTGTTCATGGCAGTATTGTCCATATAATTTTCAGTCCTGTAATTCTATTGTCTAATTAATGTAGTCTATGTAAGACTTGAGGTTCTCACAGCGGTGAGTATGAAGATTTCCGTCTGATGACGGAGGCAGTATGACCTCTGAAACGTTGGTTAACATTGACCAGACTACACAGCGCAACAACCCAGAAGACGGAAATCTTAATGTAGTCTACCTTTATGACACAATTTCATAGCTTCCTTAAATGTAGATTATTGTCTGCTCTTCTTTACAGTGTGGTTCATAAAATTTTCACATACATTTATTCAGGCTTAAAAGTTCATTCCTTAATGTGTTTCCTCTGGTAAAATGCAATTTCCTTTAATAGGAGGCTTGGAAGATTTACATTTCTTCACTAAACAACCTACTTTCTGTGTTTACAGCTGATGTCTCGTTGCATTATACACACTATTATTTACAGTTTTATCCACTTTTTAGAACTAATTTCAACAAAATACTCAGCCATTCAGAAATGTGACAAACACTACAGTCATGATGACAGCAAAATGCTGCCAATAGAACAATGTTCAGTTTTGTGCACAATAAGGAGAATGCACACAACATTCTGAAGTTGGCTGTCTTCTGGGAATTAGTGCAGGGTAGTCTGATTGATATGTTGGCATAATCAGTGGTCGATATTGACTGACATTTTGGAGGAGCTTGCTTGGGGCCTGCCTTTTTGATTCTAAATGCCATCACTTTACTCTTCTGCTGTAATCATCAGGTTTAGAATGATGTCCATTAACCATCTTGAGTCCTGTTTTGAAGATAAACGCAGTTTGGTACATCACTGACAACTATATCATGGACACACTTGTTCACTAGTTCAATTCTCTTTTGATTATGGTTGATTACGGTGTGTGTTAAATTCTCTTGTGATAGCTATATTCTGTATGTGAATTCTTTTTGCAGTTGCAAATGTGTCGTGCTTTATTTTAGATCATGGAGGGTGAAAGAACAGAGAGGACTGCTGGGACCAAGAAAGCGAACACTGGTCATATTTACAGGCCTGCCACAAAGTTATGGATCAGTGATTGTCTTTGCGTTCCCCCATACCCAACAGTGAAAAATACTTACTTATTTCAAGATTTTCTTGTAGAATATGTCGATGTTTTTGGAGTTGTCTCAGGCAGAAAGTTATTTGGTACTTCTGCTGCAGCCTATACTATAGATGACGGAACTGGAGAAATAACGTGCCTTTTTGACCATGGAAGACAATATGCTAAAGATGATTACCAGCAAATTGTGGAGCTTGGTAGTGAATTGACCAATGTATCAGGATGTACTGATCTTGAACATAAGCTGCTAAATTATATGATGAAACCTGCAATTTATACTTTTGAAAACTTGGTGCAGTATAGAGAAGTTGGTGATACAGTTCATGTTGCTGGACGGTTATGCCAGTATCAGGACTTGAGACAGGTGAAAGCGTATCATCTGAGTCTTATAACAGATTTGAATGATGAGGTAGACAGAATACATGAACTAATGTTACTATATGAGAATGGCTACTGTAGAAGCAATGGTAGTCTTAAACAGAAGCAGAGAACCAGAGTTTGAAAAAGTATCCACAAGAATATAAGATCAGAATATTGCCAGATATTCTTTTTCTGGTTATGACTGTGTAAAATGTCATGAAGGAGAAATACTTGAAATTTGATGGCATTTTTACATATGGTTGGAAAAGGAAAGTACTAGAAATCTGGTGACTTTGTAGATTATGATTGCATAATGTCATGAAAGAGAAATCTATGGGTTTTTACTTGTTCAGTAAGCTCCTGATTATCAGTGTCTGGATTATTCATGCATGACTTCTTTTTTAAATAAACACAGACACATGTGAAATAGGCCTTCAACATCTTACTTCATGTACTTAAGAAATTTGAGAACAGAGAATGGGCAACAGAACTTATAAAAAAAAAATGTGGTAGGGATTGAGTGATTCCATCCTTGAAATAACACTACCAGGCTGGCCTTTTCAGAGCTCTTAGTGATGACGTATTTTGGGCATAGTTTTCTGTGAGTCCAGTAACACTGGTTTGATTATGGGGGAAACTTTCTCCAGATCTAGTAGATGATTTGCAAGAAATCAAAAGTTCATGTCATGGTGCGTGCTATGAGAAGTTTTGAAAAAATTGACAATGAAATGAAAAATGGCTTCAGAGTGGTGCATGTGAAGTGGACTTCCAGCACAAGACAGACAGACAATGTCAGTGCTGCAATGAAAGAAATGAGAGTGAAGTTCATGCTGTCATGAGAGAGAGTCTAAAGAGTTTTCAAAACAAGTGAGCATTACAAACTGTTTCTTAAAAAAGGTCTGTTGTGTAAAAAATGTTAAGCAGTTTGTGAAGTTCTATGAAAGCACCAAACAAAATAGTTTGTGTTTTATTATTTATGTATCTTATACCCTTCATTAGCTCTGATAATCAATACGACAGGTGGGAAAGGGAAATTCTTGAAATCTTTTAACTCTTTTGGTTATGGTTGTGAAAGAAAATTTGTTTAAATGTTATGTCTTCGTTATTATTGTATTAAATATGAAAGACAATTTCTTGAAATCAGTTTGGCTGTTATTCTGTAATTCATACTAAACCACCTCTCTTTTTCTGTTTCTAGCTGAATTGCTCAAATTTCTAAATCCTGTTCCTTACAGTGTTGTGAAATATCAATTTTGTTGAAACATTGATCCTTCTTAACATAAATACACACGCCTCCCGTTTGTAGGTTTTGTCTGCTGAAACTGGAACCTAATCTAATGTGAGGAGCAGCAAATCCTGTTCAACCATGTGATGTTCACTTAGACAAAATATAAGATATCCCCCAAAATATAACCCAACAAAACCGTTATGAGCAGATGAATACCGCATCAGCAGTACAAAATCGAAGCAGTGACTAATTAACATGACCATGTTTAAGAATTCAAATGCGAGTGCCCGAAAATATTATTGAAGTGTGGGAGGGGAGGATTGAACAGCCACTGAATGTGCTCACTTCATTGATGTTAAGAATTTAG